TGCACAGGTGATAGGCACACACCACACCATTTTACATAAAGGACTTGCACATCCTCGGTCCTAGTCCGGAGCCCGCAGTTATGGAGGGATGATGGCCTTTGATCTGCAGTATGTTGGATCATCAGACGTGGAGCCTGCAGGTGTGGTGGGCAGACTCCATGGAGGTGACCATGCTGAAGCACCTGCTTCCCAAGCACTGACCACCTCCCCTGGAGACATCAGCACAGTCGCAGTGCACCAGGGTGTGTTCCAGTGCAGGTTTGTCCAAGGTGCTCTGGGTGGAAGCCAACTGAGGGAGAAAGGCTTCACCAGAGAGGATTAGGTACCTCAGTGCTCGCAGCCCCTCCCCAGACCCCAAAGCCCTGTGCCCCCAGCAGAGCCATCTCCACGGTACAGGGGGTTGTGGCTGCCCAGCAGCCGTGGTATGCTTTCTCTCTATAAATTCCTCTTTGAGTGATCTGTGTTGCTGCAGAGTCCATAGGAGGAACCTGGTGGGGCGGTGGAGGTGGATGGGGACCAGTGAGACATTCATATCCTTGACTGTAGACAGAACTGACCAAAGTCAATGCTGCAGTAGCAGCCAGGTCCCTGGAGCTCTGACCCTCTGTGTAGGGAGGGGATACTCAATTGCTGACAAACCAAGATGGGCCTGAGGTTTCCCTTGGCTCTACTGGGCAGTGGCCTTAGCAGGAGTTCCCTAGCCACTTACCCCTTCAACCTCTCTAGACCACCTAGGCACTCTCTAGGCACCTGCTGGCCTTGCCCTTCTTCTGATGGCTCTGGGACAAAGGCTGGGATTAAGTGTTAGTTGGCTTTAAACTTACCAGCATGCACACCTTCTGGGGCCTAGATTCCCAGCTGGCAGGAATGGGGAGCCCAGCCCACCTGACATTTGCTGGTGATCTGATCACGTGGTGCTCAGGGTACACTAAGTGTCCCACACTGAAAATGTCTTCATCTAGGAGAGGCTGAAGCATGTGAGCAACAGTCAAGTGAGGCCTTGCTGCCACCAGTTGTGCTTGTGGGTGACTGCCGTGTCCTTCCCTGTCCCATGCCACTCTGCAGCAGCAGGTGGGCAGAGCTCAGTGCTGTGGCAGGACGTCAGATGTGGATGGTCTCCTAGAGGTCAGCAGTCCTGGGCTCTTCATTCAGTTTTCCTAACGTAGACCACCCCAGGTTCCCCACTCAGACCAGGGAAGCACCACGGGCAGTGTTGTCACTCAGAGTTCAGACATGACCTCGCTTTGCTTCCAGTTTTTCCCATCTGGGCTCTGTGAGCTGACGGGGGGCGGGGGCGGGGGCAGCTTGCCCTTGGCGTAGCTTCATGGCCTGGCCCTCAGCAGCCATCCCTCCCCAGCCTGGGCGCCCCTCCCACACGCACTGCTTCTCTACCTACTGTGCCCTCCTGGCCTTGCCCTCTACCCTCTCCATGCCCTCTGCAGCCTGCCCTTTAGCCCTAAGGCTCCCTGAGGTCATGGTCCCTTTCTCTCTGCACCCTTCCTTCCCTCTAGTGTCCCCATTCCTCCCCACTCCTGGGCTGTGTGATGTAAGAAGGAATATGTATTGGGGTCCTCCTCTCTTTTCCTGGCACATAGAATGCAAAATGCTGGGACTCTCCCTTTGTACGCTAATGAGATGCCTGGTGGCTGGGCCCCTGGAGAGTCCAAGGAGTGCGGCTGGCCTCCAGGAGAGCCACCAGGCCATTAAAGGGTCAGAACTTCGGTCCTGCCCCACCCCCAACCTCGTGGCAGAGGAAAGGGGCTGCAGGCTGAGTGGAACACCAGCAGCCAGTCATGCCTGCATAATGAAGCCTCCATAAAAACACAGGACAGGTTGGGACCGCTTGTGAGTTGGTAACCATGAGGAGGTGCAGGAGAGTGGTGCACCCCAAGAGGACATGGAAACTCCTGCGTCTCCCGGTACCCTGCCCGGGGCATCTCGTCCATTTGGCTAGTCTGAGCTGCGTGCTCTTTAGTGCAGGAGCAGATGTAAGTGGGGAGCACGTCTGCATTCTGTGAGCCATTAGCCAACCACAGCTCCAGGATGGGGCGTGGAACCTCAGGTTTAGAACCAGTGGGTCAGGTACGCGGGGACACCTGGCATCTGAAGTGGGATGGTCCTATGCTACTGGGCGCCAACCTGTGGGTCTGCACCCACCCCAGGTGGACATGTCAGAACTGAGTAAAGCTGCAGGACACCCTGCTGGTGTCCACAGGGCATCGGATTGTTGCAGGAGAGAAAAGGCCTCCTGGGGTCAGAAGGGAAGTTGGGATGTAGGAGGAGTAGAAGAAAAAGCATCTCGGCTTCCCCGCCCCAGCCCTTGCCCGTCTTCACAGAGGGTCCTCAGAGGCCTGTTGTGAAGTCTACATGGCTCAGCTGCTGTTCGGCCTCTTTCTTTTTCTTCTTCTTTATTTAAGTCATCGGTGTCCCCTCCTACCAGATTGGACACAGATATCAAGCACGGACAGTCAGCCAGGCCTTGCTCGGGCACAGGAGGTCAAACTGTGCTAAGACACGCAGGCCTCTGTCCCAGGACACCTCCCTGCCACCTGCCCTGTGCCCCAGCTTGTCACACACACAGGAATTTTGAGCAGACTGAGCAGCAGGCAGGGAGCCAAAGTCCTGAGCTGGCCCCTCCCAGTCCTGGAACAGCCTTTCGACCCTCAGCAGAGAATTGAAATCAGCCCTGTTCACCTTTGGTTGAAGGGGCTCTAAATGTGTCACCTCTCCCAGACATTGCCCTTCAAAGGCTTTTCACTGTTTGTTGAGTGAAGACCTTACTTGCAAAATATTAGCAAGGAGGTGCTCTTCAGGATGCAAAAGGACATTTTTCTAAATCATATAGTGAAGAAGGCTCTGAAGGGCCAGAGGACGCTGGACGAGAAGGCCGTGGGTGCTGGGAGAGCCCCTTCTCCTTGGCCTTGGCCAGTTCCTCCCACTTCCCCTGAGCTCCATGCCTTCCTCAGGGGCCTCAGCCCTGCTCAGTGCCAGGGAGTCACTGTCCAGGCCAAGCCCTCGAAAACAGGCTACAACCAGAGTGCAAGCTTGAGAGTCAGGCTGCCTAACCAGCCTCCTGGTCTCCATCTGTGGAGTGGACACAGGAGGACACACACCAGGTGGCCCTGGGGACTGAGTGAGTCAGGACAGGGAAAGGCTGTAGCTCAGAGCCCACCTTGTGGCTCTGGGTTCAAAGCCAGCTTCAGCAACTTAGCGAGACCCTGTCTCTAAATAAAATATAAAAAAAGGGCTGGAGATGTGGCTCAGTGGTTAAATGCCCCTGGGTTCAATCCCTGGTTATTCCACCCCCAAAAAATGGAAGAAGCTAAACAAATCTGTTAACTGAAATGTTTAGGCCAGTGCACTGTGTTAGCATCTATGCAGTGACGGCCATTTCTCCATCAGCTGTTGACAGCACGGGAACCTAGCTGACATCATTGAGAGAAAGAAATGTCCATCAGAATTTTAAATAAGCCAGGGCACAGTGGTGCCTCTCAGCTACTCCAGAGGCTGAGGCAGAAAAATCTCAAGGTTGAGGCCAGACTCAGCAACTTAATGAGTCCCTACCTCAAAGTTTAAAAAGAATAATAATTATTATTATTATTATTATTATTATATATAATAATATATATATATAATATATTATATAATATATTATATATATTATATAATAATAATATATAATATATAATAATAATAATAATAATTATTATTATTATTATTATTATTATTATTAAAGGGCTGGAGATGTAGCTCAGTGGTAGAACACCCCTGGGTTCAATCCCTAGTACCACAAAAAAAAAAATAGACTTTCAGATTTCTTGAAATCCAGTCTAGAAGTGATGCCCACTGGGGGCTCTTCGTACAGTGCTGTCTGCCACAGAATGTGGAACCAAACATTCTCCCACAGGGAATGGGTTCCATAAATCCTTCCCTAAGCCCGATAACCCCACAGCCTAGGAAAGAGGCAGGCCTGCCCGTGTGTGGCGAGGTGGCGAGGAGGGCCTCAGTCGGTAGTCACGGTTGTGTCTGTGCAGAGAGGAACCGCACAGGTCCGTGTGCACACGCCCCGCGCCCCGCTAGAATGCAGCATCCAGGAAGTGGCAGCAGTTGCCTCTGGGAGGGCTGTTGTGAGCGACAAGGCACAACCTGTGGCTTTCCTGCCATTGGCAATACTGTGTATTTTGAAATGTAATCTGAAAACTCCTCTTGTGACTGGCGTCGTAATGACACGGCGTCCTAGGGGTGAGGAGCATGGAGCAGGGTCGGGCTGCCTGGCTTCACTTCCAAGCTCCACCACCAGGTGGGTGAGCTCTCAGGATTTCCCACCCCTCGCACCTCGGGTTTCTCATCTATGAAATGAGGTTGAAAAGGCCCTTGCACAGGGCCTGAGTGTGAAGCGGGATGTTCCATGTGAAAGCTCTCAGTCCCCTGTCACCTAGGAAGTGAGCACCCAGCACCAGCCACATTGCAGCACCTTCCCATCAGGGCCTGGGGAGTTGAGTGAGAACTGCCCCGATCAGGCCCAGCCCTGGCCTTTCTCCCCCTGGCAGGGAGAACTTTTCCAAATCTCCCCATTTGACTCTACTCCTTGAGGTGAGCCTGGCTCCTCTGGTACCTGCCTCTGTCACCAGCTGTCCACCTGAGGAGCTTGTTGCAGCCTTGTAATTACAAAATCACATCTGTGAGAAACCTTGGCACTGGTCCCCAATTTCTCCACTTTGGATTGGAACCTGCTTTCCAGAAAGATGCTCATATGCACCAAGGGAGCTGGGCTTGTGGCAGGACCTGGCAGCCTGCTCGCCCCATGTGTCCTGGCCCAGGTCAACACCTCAGGCATATTGTAGGAGTGGGCAGTCTGGGTAGAGTTGTCCATAGCGTGCCCAGCCTCCTGTGGGGGGCTCTAGCTCCACACCCTCTAGGTGCTTGCCGTGAAGGACGATTGTCCCAGCCATCAACCATCAGTTCTGGAGGGGCCCTAACGTCCTCCTTTCTGCTCTCAGGGGTCTAACGTGATGGAAGAGCAGGACCTGCGGGAAATCGGCATCAGTGACCCACAGCACCGGCGAAAGCTGCTCCAGGCTGCACGCTCTCTGCCCAAGGTGACCACCAATAGCACTGTAGCCTTGGCCTCTGCCAGGGCCAGCTCCATTTCCCTCTGCCTCCTAGACTGGGAACAGGGAAGGAGCTTGGCTCTGGTGTGCAGATCTCAGTGGGGTGTCTGCCCCTCATCGTGGAGCCCCAGAGAGCACAGGTCCTGTTCCCTTCCTCACTAAGTCCTGAAGCTTCTGGAGTCAGCGGAGCTCTAGGGACATCGAGCATCCTGTTGGGGCTGAGGAGGGATCCTCCTGGCTCAGGAGCCAGGTGCCACAGACTTGGCCTGACACCAGAGCCCGCTTTGGGGTTTCTCCTGCCTCACAGTGTCAGGCCAGCCCATCCTGACCCTGGCATCTGGCCCTCCCCAGGGAGACCTGGTAGGAGCAGGCAGCAGAGGAGGCAGCTTCCCAGGAGCTAGTGGGCCTGAGCCTCAGCCTCTGTGCTGGTGCAGTCCCATCCCGTCCACTGCCAACACTCAGGAAGCACCACTGCCCTGTCCCTGCAGACAGGGAGTTCTCCAGTGGTTTCCACTTCCGAGAGCTTGATAGAAAGGGCTGTGCCAAGATCAGTCTTGGGAGTACTAGGGAGTCAGGCCTCTAGGGACCCTCTTGACCTGGGCCCTTGGTCCCTGCATCCCCATCCTGTGGGTCTAAGATGTTGGTCCCACCTCTTTGCCCTGTAGGTAAAGGCCCTGGGCTATGATGGGAACAGTCCCCCATCCGTCCCCTCCTGGCTGGATTCCCTGGGGCTGCAGGACTATGTCCACTCCTTCCTGTCCAGTGGCTACAGCTCCATCGACACTGTGAAGAACCTCTGGGAGCTGGAGCTTGTCAACGTGAGTATGGCTCCAGGCTGGGCCGCCGGCCCCTCCTGACATGCAGGTTCCCTCGGTGACAGCCTGGCCCACAGCAGGAGGCCTAGAGCTGGGGGGCTGGGGTCTGTCAGCCACTGACCTGCCTGCCCCCCTCCTCGCTGCCCAGGTCCTAAAGGTCCACCTGCTGGGCCATCGCAAGCGCATCATCGCCTCCCTGGCAGAGAGGCCCTACGAGGAGCCGCCGCAGAAGCCCCCAAGGTTTTCCCAGCTGAGGGTGAGTTGGGGGGAGGGAAAGGGTACATCTGTGCGCTTGCTCTTGGCATTTGGTGACTTCTTCAGAGACTGTGTGACGTCTGCATACAGGAGAGACAAATCCCTGCCCTCCCTCACAAAGGTCAAGACAAGCTCAGGAGAGAAAGGTTTTTGCCTGGTTATTTATCCAAAACACTTGAGATGGACTATAATAAAGAACTCAGTTTAAATATCACAAAGTTAATAGACCCCAAGCTCAGTGGGGCCAGTGTGGCCATTGAGCTCAGCTGTGCACCTGATGGGGACAAAGCAGGGTGGGGCAGAGAGGCTGCAGGAGCCCCCTTCCAGCCCTCTGACTGAGCCGGACAAAGCTAGGGATCCCCAGCCAGGATGCTCAGCTTCCTGGGCCCCCTCCCAAGTCTTCAGATTGAGAATTCCTGCAGGGTCAGTAAAAGGATCTATGTTTTTCTTTTCTTTTTTTTGGCACTGGGGATTGAGCCCAGGGGCACTTAACCACTAAGCCACACCTCCAGCCCTTTTTTGTATTTTATTTAGAGACAGGGTCTCACTGAGTTGCTTAGGGCCTTGCTAAGTTGCTGAGGCTGGCTTTGAACTTGTGATCCTCCCATCTCAGCCTCCCCAGCCACTGGGATTATAGGCTTGCACCACATGTCCTGCAGAATCTATGTTTTTAAAAGCCTCACAAATGATGATTGCTCAAGCCAGGTGATCCCTGACTGCGGAAATATGCTAGACTGTGTTCAGGGTACGCTTCCCCAAAACCTGCAGGATAGAACAGGCTGTGATGGCAAGTGACACGGCAGCCCTGCCCCGGCCCCTGGCCTGCACTTTTTCCTGCCTGCTGCACATCCCATTCAGCTCTGCGGAGTTCAGAAAGGCTGTTTCCTTCCCTTCCATGAGAGGAGGCTGAGGCCTGGCCCCATTCTCAAAACCAAACACCCAGCTGACTTTGCTATCAGGTGCCCTCTGCAGTTGAGTGGGGTCTTGAGAAAGACTTTATATTTAGTCATACAACCCAGAGTCCTACAATGGATTATTAGGGATGACTTCATCTTTGGGAAATCCTTCTCTGGTTCCCTTACCCTTTAACCATCTTTTTGGTATAGCCCCAGCCAAGGGACACTCTTGAACTACAAGTGGTCCTGATGGCCTCACCCCAGGCTCGTTGCTGTTGGCTCTCAGCTCCCTGCTTCTCCTGTCTCACTGACCTGCCCATGCCCAGCCCCAGTCAGCCCAGCACCCCTGACACCTCCAGCCTGCCACTGGACTGGGCTGATGACTGGTCGGCGTCACCCAGTTTCTCCCCCTACAGTGCCAAGACTTGATTTCCCAGACCTCGTCCCCACTGAGCCAGAATGATTCCTGCACCGGGCGGTCAGCAGACCTGCTGCTGCCTTCTGGGGACACAGGCAGGAGGCGGCATGACAGTCTTCAGGACCCTGCAGCACCCTCTCGAGCAGAGCGTTTCAGAATCCAGGTAGGCAGAAGAGACTGCAGCCAGGTCCCCTGGGTAGGGCAGGGCCTCCAGGAGCCACCTGCTGTGGCTGAGCACTATTGTGCTGGCATGAGTCATGAGTGACCCCAGCCTGCTCCCCTCACTCACCACGCAGCTCCCTGGGTGAGGCCCGTCCAGCCCCAGGCCTCCCAGAGCAGACTGTAATGCACGCGTTGGGCCTGCCTCGGCGCACCACACCCCAGACGTCCTCCTCACAGCTCGCTCTGCTGGCTCCTCTGGGACCATAGCCTCCCACAGTCCAGCCCTGCAGGCCCTTGCTGGTCACCACAGCCATCACAGAGCCCTTGTCCCCTCCACTCTCGCCCTGTCTGTTCCTCAGCACCAGTGTCCCTAAGCCCCAACTCCACGTCGTCATCCCACCTGCCCAACAGAAGCTCATCACAGGCTGCAGGGTGCCTCCAGCCCCTGCCCAGGGCTAGCCTCTTGCACTGAGAGCCCTCTGCCTTGGGGCTCACTTTCAGGGCTCCCAGATTTACTCAGGACTTACCTGTCCCAGTTCCAGCCTTGCTCACATCTCTGGCTTTAACCCTTGTCTGTCCCTTGGCCTGTCCGTGTTCCTCTGCCCCCAGGGTGAACTCTGCCCTCTACTCACCCCTCCCACTGCTGCCCACCATCCCTGGGGTCTCCCGTGTCCACCACTTTCCACAGCCGAGCCACGTGTTTTTCTTTCCACATTTGTTTATTGGTGCATTGTAGTTGCACATATTGATGGAGTTGTCGTTACATATTCATATATGCAAACAAGGTAACAATATAATTTGTCCAGTATCACTCCCAGCACTTCCCCCCTCCTTCCCACCCTTTGGTCTCTTTCCTCTACTGATTTCCCTTTAATTTTCATGAGATCCCCACCCCCACATTTCTTTTCCTTTTTCTGCTCTAGCTTTCACATGAGAAAAACATAATGACCTCTGACCTTCTGAGTTTGGCTTAGTTCTCTTAACATGATGGTCTCTAGTTCCATCCATTTTTCCTGTAAATGACATAAATTCATTTTTATTTATGGCTGAATAAAATTCTATTGCATATACATAGGACATTTTCTTTATCCATCATCCACTGATGGACACCTAGGCGGGTTCCATAGTTTGACAGCCATGAATTATGTACGATCTAATATGTACGTCACCCCTTAGCTTCAGTGGCTCTGTGTGGAGACTCTGCGTGTTGGGAGTGGGAATCTTTAGCGTTTCCTGAATCTTCCTTCCACTGGGGCCTGGACTAGAGGACCCTCTCCCCACCCCTAGCTGCTGCCAGAAGGATCCATTGAAATGTGGCCTCGCCCTGGTGTTTCACTCCCCCCACCCCCACCCCAGGACTGAGTCCACAACCCTTGACTGGGATTTGAGGCGCTCTGGCACCTGGCTCCTGCTGTGGCCACCCCTGTTCTGTGTTGAATGGCCCACAGCTAATGCTCCCCTACGTGCTCTGCTGTGTGGTCCCTCCATCTTTTTCGAGACTCATCAGACAATGCTGACCCCTCCTGCAGCCCTGCTCCTGGCTGGCTTGGGTCCCGGCTACTCTGCCTATTCCTTGGTGTCAGTAGTGCCCCCCAACTCCACCACAGTCTGCTTTTCTGCCCCCCCACCCTCTGCTCTGACCCTTGACCTCATTGAGGTCACCAGCTTCCTCCCTGATGTGGAGCCAAACAGGCCCCTGAGCTCCCTTGGAGCAGGTGGGCAGCTGTCCGACTATCCGACTGTGTGTTTTGCAGGAGGAGCACCGCGAGGCCAAACTAACCCTGCGGCCACCCAGCCTAGCCGCCCCCTACGCCCCCGTGCAGAGCTGGCAACACCAGCCGGAGAAGCTCATCTTCGAGTCCTGCGGTTACGAGGCCAACGTGAGTCACTCTCGCCCTCTCAGGTGGCCAGCCTCCCTGCTCCCACCCCTTCCCACAGGCCCCTGACCCTCTGCAGTACTAGGCCAGGGCCATCCTCTGCCCTCAGCTGTTCCTAGAAGCCAAGGGGAGGAGCAGAGGCCTCTGGGTAGGTCTAACCAGAAATGAAAACGGGGGCCTCCCCAGCTGGGGTAGGAAGGGTGTTGTTGGGAGAGGTGAATACTGTATGGTGGGACGTCCCAGATTTCCTGGGTCACCTGCATGGATGCAGACGTTCCTTGCTGATCCCAGTTGCTGCTTGTTTCACAGTATCTGGGCTCCATGCTGATCAAAGACCTGCGCGGGACAGAATCCACGCAGGACGCCTGCGCCAAGATGCGGGTAGGCTACCTGTGGGATGGGGGGCGTGCCTAGGACAGAAAGCAGCAAGCCGAGTCCTGGCTGCAGCTGCCCAGGCCCACCACACTGCAGAGGGATGGAAGCGGGCAGGGGCTGTAGATTCCAGGGGAATGGGGCGTTCTCAGGACCACCCTTGTTTCCTATAGAAATCCACCGAGCACATGAAGAAGATCCCCACCATCATCCTGTCCATCACATACAAAGGTGTCAAGTTCATCGATGCTTCCAATAAGGTGTGCTTCTTAGGAGGACTAAGAAGGGGTGGGGCCATCTCCCCTTCTGAGCCATGGGGCTCGAGACAGCAACCTGGTTCCCTCTTTTTACTTCCCGTGTCCACCACTTCCACAAGTTCTTGTCTCTCATATGCTCTGTATCCTTGACCCTGGATCCTACCCCTGTCCCCACTGTAGTGGCAGCAGGTGCTGCCTTCCCAACTCAGGTCTACTGGCTTCCCTGCTCATGGGCCCTCAGTGGTATATCCCTCAGAGAGCAGAGGACTCCCCACGCCCCTCTTGAGACCCTTTCCACCTCCCTGTACCCTTGGTGGTGGCAGGGGCTGGAGAGAGATCATGGTTGGCGGTGAAGGCTTCACTGCCTTAGTTGCCGTGGTCCAGGTGAGACCCATACTTAAGCCAGGCAAGACACTGCTCTCACTCCCACTGTTGGGGGGAAGAAGTGGGGTTTGGCTAATGTCTAGGCTGAGATGAAGAAAGGTAGCGACGTGGGAGGCCATGGTGGGCGGTGCCAGAAGCATTCTGGGTGGAGCCCAGAAACACCAGAACACTGCTTCCCCTCAGAACGTCATCGCAGAGCATGAGATCCGCAACATTTCCTGTGCAGCCCAGGACCCAGAGGACCTCTGTACCTTTGCCTACATCACCAAGGACCTGCAGACTAGCCACCACTACTGCCACGTGTTCAGCACAGTAGATGTGGTGAGTAAGGGGCCACCTGGGCCCCAAGAAGGCAGTGGGGACTGTGAGCCCTGGAAGGGTCTGGCCCTCTCTGGCTGGGCACGGAGGGCTGCTGTCCTGGCCCCTGCTGGCGCTTGGCAAAATGTGTAATTCCTGAGTGGAGCCCAGCAGCATCCATTCCTGTCCCTTTCATGTAGTGAGGAGACTGAGTCTCAGAGATGAAGGAATGGCTGGCTCTGCGGCTAGCAACAGAGGTTCTCAGCTCTTGGCTCAGTGTTCATTGGTCAGGCAAGGCCTTTGTTCTCCAGCCTTTTGTCTATGAACCCACTGCCCCAACTCCCCAAACCTTCAGTGGGCAGGCTCCTGAAGTGCCCTCTGCGTCGCCCTGGGGCAGCAGTGCCCTCCTCAGTAAGTGTCTCCCAGGAGGGCTGCAGAGTTACCTCCTCCACACACAGCTGCCCACAGAGCCTGCACAGGAGCTTACAGCCGGTGCCAGGGATGCTCTCTGCCCTGAGACCAGGTCTGGCCAGGACTCCAGGCCATCTCCTCACCTCAGCAAGGGCGTCAAGTCCCTGTCACCCTCAGGAAAAGGAGCTATTTCCAGAATCTCTGTGGTTCCTGAACGCAGATCTCTCTGGATAGTCCCTGTCCCTGGGTCCTGATCCAGCTCACCCTCTGCTTGCTCTGGGCCAATGGGGTCTAGGAGCCTGGGTTCTGAAATCAGGCACCCAGCTGTGCCATTTGTGGCTGTGATATCTTGGAAATGTCACCTCACCTGTTTTCCTCCTCTGTACAAAGGGAATTATAACCAGCCTCATGGGGCTGCCTGAAGCTTAAATGAGGTGATCCACACGACCCTGGTGATCGATGGCTGATTACCTGCAGCCGACCCTGCTGTAATGCAGCACCCATGCTCCTACCATCACCACACTTTGTAAAATCAGTCAAGACCACAGAGTAGGCCTGGCCCAGTGGCACACGCCTGTAATCCCAGAGACTCAGGAGGCTGAGGCAGGAGGATCACAAGTTCAAGGCCATCTTCAGCAATACAGTGAGACTGTCTCAAAATACGTTTAAAAAGTACTGGGTGTAACCCTATGGTAGCGCCCTGGCCTATCGTGCACAAAACCCTGCGTTCCATCTCTAGTACCACAAAAAAGAAAAAAGAAACAGTCTTAGGGTTTATCGGCAAATAGAGTTGAGGCATAATACTAGCAAAATTGTCAGTGACATGGTTAAAATTTAAAATAGAACAAAACCACTAGCACTATTTTATTCATGTTAGATCATTAAGAAATACCTTTAATACTACAGTAGCCATAGTTCTACCTTGAGAAGGACCTGAGGTTGGCCTGCAGGACACACACTCCCAGCCAAGTTTGCAAGTTGGAGGCCAGCCTGGGCAACGTGAGTGAGACCCTAAGCAACTTAGCACGACCCTGTCTCAAAATAAAAAATTAAAAGGGCTGGGGATGTGGCTCAGTGGTAGAGTGCCCCTGGCTTCAGTCCCTGGCACCACAATAAAGAATTGCCCTCCTTAGCCCAGGCCCACTGCCTTGTGGGAAGAGAACAAAAGTGAGGGAGAGAGGAGAGAAGGACAGAGACGGAGGAGTCAACCACACAGTGGCCAGGAGGTGGGCAGGCTGCACAGCCTGGGTACCTTCTGAGGCGGAGGCTTCCAGGGGAGTGCTGAGGCACCGTGCAGATGGCACGTGCGCTCTGTTCATCTCACGTGACTCGGCTCGGCAAGGCTGCGGGTTTTATGTGTACCTAGTGTTTCTGTCAGACAAAATCGTACCCAAGGACACAAAAAAACTATTTAAATTTTGGTACTGGGGATTGAACCCAGGGTGTTTTCCACTGAGCTACTTCCCTAGCCCCTTTCTTAGATAGGGTCTCACTAAGTTACTGAGGCTGGCCTCAAACTTGGATCCTAACTGTGTTTTGTTCAAATTTTTCCCTAATGTGCCACTTGCATTGGAACAAATTTGGGTTTTTTCAAAACAACAATTCCGTTTTCCCTGTGAGGGTGGGGAAGGTGTCAGGAGGCAGGGGGTGACTCCTAAATCCAAGCATTCAAGTGGACTCTGCTTCCTCCCAGAACCTGACCTATGAGATCATCCTGACGCTGGGCCAGGCGTTCGAGGTGGCCTATCAGCTGGCCCTACAGGCCCAGAAGTCCAGGTCGCTGGGGGCCTCTGCTGTCGAGATGATCGAAACAAAATCTTCCAAACCGGTGCCTAAGCCTCGGGTGGGCACAAGGAAGTCCGCAGTACGTGGGCCCAGTCGTAAGACTCCCCGGCTCCCTGACCCACGGTTGCAGCTTGGGCTCCCTCCTCCCCAGGGACAGCCCTCTGGCCCCTACTCCCAGGCCCCTTTCCCGCCCCAGGGCCACAGCTCCTCTGCCCCAGGGTCTGCTGCTCCCCTCCTCTGTCAGGACAGGCCACCATGGGGCTGCTGAGAGCGGGGCCTGTGGGAGCCCACAGTGACCTGGTCCCTGTGTCTGTGTCTGCTTGCTCTGCACCCCAGGTACCGCTGACCCCTGATAGTCGCTGTTGTCACTGTCACTCCTGCACCACCCACCGCCCCTCCTACCTGCCGCTGCCGTCTGTTAGTCCTGGAGTCAAGGTCTTTGCGCCTCCTGCTGTCTTGTGTGTCAGTCTCCCTCAAGTGACGTGAGCTTTCTCAGACTCTGGTGGCCTCCCCTCTACCTGCACTGACACTCTCTTCTTTCCTGAGATACCCTCTGCCCTTCCTGTGTGTGCTTTAGCTGTTTCTCTGTCGTGTCCCCTCCTTAAGGTCTGGGGTGACTGCTGTGGTCTTCCTCAGCCTGAGCTCTCTGGCCCCAGGACTGGGGTTTGCAGGCCCCACATGGGATGGGTTTGGGGCTTAGAGCAGGAGGCTCTAGTGGGTTGGTTCCTTTACCCACACAGTCCTGAGAAACCCCTGGGAGAGGCACTTGTCTCTGGAGGTGCTCCAGCGAGGCTTACACTCCTCCCGTCCCCTCCTAGGGGCCTGCTCCTTGGCTCTACGCTGGGCCCCACCTGCCCCTGGCCCGGGGGCAGCTGCTCACTCTTGCCCCATTTGCTTGTTTGGCAGCTGGAACCACCCGACACTGACCAAGAGGCCCAGTCCCACGCCAGTGTCTCCTGGATTGTGGACCCAAAGCCAGACTCCAAGCGGAGCCTCAGCACCAAGTATGAGACCACTATCTTCTAACAGCCCACCCTGTCTCCACTAGTCTCACTGTGCCTTTGCCGTCCGATCTTTCTGCTGTCTCGACTCTCTCCTTCCAGCTGCCACCACCACGGCCCCACCTTCGCGGGGACCTGCCCCCCTCCCGGGCAGCAGCTGTAGATGCTACACTCACAGCTCTTGTACCTAATACCACCGAACACTGTGAATTCTCCCCTTGGGCTGAGGACAGCTGGGGGGGCGAGTTGCCTTTGAGGTGGGCACGAGGGGCAGAGGGCTCTGCTGCGACCAGGAGCCCTACAGTGGGCACTGCATTGCTGAGGGGTGGGCTTTGGGTGAAGCCAGTGGGCGCCTGGGAGCTCTGTGGAGCTGGCTGTTCTCTCCCGTCTTCCATCCTGAGCCACAGCTGGATGCCAAGAGCTAACTCCGTTCACCTTTCCTGACACAACCAACCACTGTGATCACCTGGTGCCAGAGCACCCTGCACTCTGCCCACAGCTGGATGCAGGGCGCAGGGCTGTGAGCATCTGAGGCCCACAGGCTGGCGTCTCAGGGCTCCTTGTCCTGGTGGGCCTTCCATGCCAAGGAAGCAGGGGCCTGTGGTTGTCCCCTCCTCACATCTCACCGCTGAGAACAGGTGTAGCGGTCCTGGCTCTGCAGCCCAGCTCACGAGGAGGAGACCCTTTCTGTAGGATCCAGCTCAAGGGGGGTCTGGGTCCCACACACGTGCACTCTCTTCTCCCCCAGAGCAGCTGCCTGAGCACAGGGCCTGACCAAGCACCTCCCATGGTCTCTGGGAGCTTTGACTCTTCTCCCCAGTCTGGGGACCTGAGAGAGCCATTGTCCAGTGCCCGACTGGCCTCTCCCCCAAGTCTCCACTCCTCTGGGAAGGGCCAGGCCATCTCCTCACAGCCGCTGGACAGTGAGCGAGTCCTGGAGGAAGGCCGCACTCCCCACCGTGGGCCGGCCACAGTTCGAGGGCAGGAGACAGGAAAGAAGTGATTTCATGGGAAGTGGCACCTGGCAGATGTAGCGCAGTCCAGGGCAAAAGCCAGCAATTAGAGCCACCCCACGGTGTAAACCAGGGTGGGTCCTGCTGCTGCCTGCCTGTCCTTGTACCTTCCTGAGCCAGAGGCAGTGATGGGCTGGGGGGCAAGGGCCTTTCTGTCCTGCTTCTGTTCCTGTCAGTCTCCTCCGCCTTGTGCAGGCCCCTTGGTTAACCCTCTCCTCCCCCCATTGTTTGCTTCTGCCAAGCTGAGCCACTGAGGAACCACACTGTGCTGCGGAAACAGCCGCGGGGAGCAGGCTCTGCCCCCTGCCACCGCCACCTGGCCTGCAGCTCTGAAGACCAGCCCAGCCGCCTGCAGGACCTCCTCTCAGCTGCTTGGCCCGGGTCTGCCACCACCAGGTCCTGCAGAGTGAGCCCTGCCTGGTGCGGAGGAGCACTCCAGGCCTCTAGCAGATGAGCCTGGAAGCCCAGAGGGTCAAGAAGTGACTTGTCCAGAATAACATGTTTTTAATAGGAAAAAAAAATCTTTTTATAAAATGAACTTTTAACACTTGGCTCAAACCTCTAGGTAAAACTGCCAATCTTCAGATGAATAACCATGGGGTCAGAGGACTGAGGGACTGAGATTAGCCAAAAAGCCAGTCGGGAAAGCCCTGTCCTCAGCTTGGGGCCTTGGTCTGGCCTGGGATGTGAGGAGCGGGCAGTGGCCCTGGGTGAGTTGGAAGGAGCAGGCCCAGGTGAGGGATTCCTGAGGGGCTGCTTCTCAGACCCAGCAAGGTGGCTGCTGTCCTTCACAGACTGCTCAGTTTCTGTCCCCATCTAGAGCTGGACTCGGGTTCTTCAGTAAGAACACAGCCTCAGAGGCACCTGGGCTGAAGCAGAGGTTTCTGGTCTGCTCCTGGGGTTCCCAGTGTGAAGGTCCAGGGGCCAGAAGGAAGGTGGGCAAACAGTCTCTGGTGCCAGGATGTCACGGCTGGTACTGGGAGCTCCCGGTGGCTCACCTGGTGGGCATTGGGCACTGCCCAGGCTGGCTGCCCCACATGCCCCGCTGATATTTCTGCCTCAACCAAGTTAAACGGGAAAATCGCCGTATTTTGGGCATTAATGGGAAGGTCAGCTAAGATTGCTACTTGCCAATTGGCGACTTGCCTGACCAGGTCTGTGTGATTGGGCTGCTTTTGGTTCTCTGCGTTATGGTTTGAGTGTTGAGTTCTCCACTGCTGGGCACATGTGGCTCCAGGGGTGGAAAAAGTAGATGAGGTGACAGTCCATGTGATTCCTCCTGTGTGGCCTTGAGGGCAGGCTGTGTCCTGGCATTCCACTGCTGCTTAGCCCTTGCTTTTCATCCGAAAGTTGCTTGGGGTTGTTCTTCCTGGGCTGGAGAATTGAAGGGGTGGAGGCAAAGCCAGGCCAGCTGCCGCCCAGTCTCTTCCAGGGCAGCGCGCTGCGGGGTCAGCAGGCCTGGGTCGCTCTGGTCCTGGGTGAGTATCCAGGCCTCAGCGGCGCTTCTCTTTCCCAGCAGAGGCTGTGAGTGAGTCTGTGCTGGTGTGCGTGTGCGAGGGCGTGCCCTTGGGCACCTTCCCAGCCCCGGTGGTCACCCCGCAGAGGACAGCAGGCCGTGTCCGTCTGCTGAGCGCCCAGACAGTGCCGTGGGGCGCAGCCCCCTCTGCAGTACAGGCAGGTTGTCCTCCACTTCCAGACTAAACCAGGGCCTGACACCTTGAAGTTGCACCTGGCCATAGGGATCCTCCCCTCGGGTCACACCACGTGGGAAAGATGCAGAGACCCGGTTCCCGGCCCTGCGCTGAGCTGCTGCCAGCGCCCCTGGCCGCCCCCTCTCCCGCCTTGGCGCTCCTGCTCCTCGGAGCCCGCGGTGCATGAAGCCCTGCTGGCGCAGGAGCTGCCGGAAACACACTACAGAGTCCCTGAAGCTCTTGTTTTTAGACATGTGGAGGCATTTCTTCCCCCGAAGCTGCTAGTCCTCTGTATTTATTCAGGTGTCTCCTGCTGGGAAGCCTCCAGGGCTGTGCTCCTGTGCCCCGGGGGCAGGATGGGTTTCTCTCTGAATGTTGAAACTAGGAAAGTGACTGGACCTCTCTTGCTCGCTCTCTCCTTCCTTCTTCCTCTACCTTCCCCAGAAAGGAATATTGCAACTTTAAGGTCAGGCTTCAGGTGGACCGGCCCCTGCGCTTCTCAGTGCACCCCACACCGTGTGGCTCCTGCGTCTGCGCGGTGTTTGGGCGGAGCCCACGTGCGCTCAGTCCTGTGCTGGCCGCAGGTCACCTGGCCTCTGCTCTCCTCTCACCAGCCGCCCTCCCTCCCGCCTTCCCTCTCGGCCCCTGGCCTCCGTGTCGGGCATTCTGGAGGAGCCTGGGGTTGAGCAGGCGGCGGGCGCGGCTTTGCATCAAGACGTTAGAACCTGAGTCTGAACGCGGTCAGCTTTGAGATACCCAGGCCCGCAGAGCGCAGTTCACAAGACTGTTGCTGCTAATGGTGTGGCGATGGGACTGAATTGTAATAAAAATGTTATTTAATCTTTGTTTCTGTATTTTGATACTTGAATGACTTCCCCTTTTGTTTTACTGTACATATAATTGTTAATCTGATTTTGTCTGAATTATAAACATCTTGTGGTACCAAACATAACCAATCTGTGCAGCAACATAGACTGACCTCACTACACAAGAGAGTGTAAATAGTTCTGGGCTTCCCGCTTTGGTTTTGTTATTTTCATAACTGTACAACTTAGAACAGACTGAATTAATAAATGAGAAGTGAAACAAAACCAGCCTTATTTTTTGGAGTCTCTGAAATAGGAACTTTATTTCCTGGCAGAAGCATGTATGTGGGCTGGGTGCTGCTGCAGGGTACGAATAAGCACCCTACTTTGTTTGGCTTAGATGACAGTTTGGGAATTCTGCTCCCTGCCAGGCATTCTTCAAAGGTAGCTGCCACGGGTGGCCTGTTACAGCTGACCCTGTGAGTGGAGGGGCCCTGCTCTTCACCTCCCCATCCTTAGGAATACCAGAGAAGGGCCACACTGCTGCAGGTACATGTCTGCGTCCTGGGCTGCGCTCTCAGTCCATGAACATTTATTGAACATCCAGGGACCAGGCTGTGCACCTTGGTGGATCTAAAACTGAAGGAAGGCTGTCTCCCTTCAGGAACCTAGAGCTGAAGTGTGGAAGTCAAGTTTTCGATATAACCAGCTAGCTACTGGCCTGCAGCCTCATCGTGAGGCCTGTGAGACAGTCCGAGAGCTGTAACGATGGTGGACAGGGTGGTGCCTGAGCTGGTTTTTAAAGGAGAGAACGTGCCAGGTGCACATCTGTGATCCCAGAGACTTGGGAGGCTAGGACAGGAGGATTGCAAGTTTGAAGCCAGCCTGGGCAACTTAGCAAGACCCTTTCTCAAAAAATAAAAAGGAGATGTAGCTCAGTGGTAGAGCGCCCCTGGGCTCAGTCCCCAGTGCTGGGGAGTGGGAGGGAGAGGAAAGGCACAAACAGGAGCAGCCTCACTGAATACCTGCGTTCCAAGTCCCGTGGAAAACTTTCAAAGCAGCCACCGCCCCAGCCCACGCCTCTATGGGGAGGTATTATCTCTTCTTCATAGAGAAGGAAACAGGCTCAGAAAGGTTAGAACCCCTGCTTAGAGCCAACAGGAGGACTTAGAGACCACCCCAGTGGCTCCAAGCTGCTCCTAGGCCTGCTTCAACCCGAGTGCCCAACACAGAACGTGAGTTTCTGTGAAATCTTCCACTTGTTAAAAGGTTTAAAAACCATGATCAGCCCAGCACCGTGTTTTACTTATGAAGAAAACAAGGTCCAAGACAAGGAAAGGCTCTTGCCTTAGCCAGCCAGCCCATGGCCGAGGGGTCCCAACCCAGGCTCTGCTTCCCAGAGAGCATCGCAGCACTCGGGCTGGACAGCAGGCAGGGCACAGGCTTGGGGCCACCTCTCCAGCCGCTGTGGCATTGTCCGCGGCAGGAGAAACCTGACAGAAGAGACAAGTCTGGTCATAAATAGTGTCACTATGCCATTGCAATATGGCACTGGGACACGTTGCCACTCATGACCTGCTTCTGGTGCCACCCAGAAGCTCACAGGAGGAGACTTCTACTCTGCCCCCAAGGCCACGGGGCTGATGTGCCCAGGCCTGGGAGGGTGGGGAGGCAGAGTCCGTGGCTGGCATCCAGCCTGCCCCTGAGCCAGAGGTAAATTGAAGGGAGAGAAGGAAGAAGGTGGCATCAAGCTGGGAATAGATGGGACACAACAGCAGTGCAGTGTCCCTCTGCCTCTTTAGCCTGGTCTACACCCTGGAAGCACGCGGACTTGGAGCAGGAAGAGGCCAGGCGATGAGCAAAGTGTCTGCTCTCGGGCCTTAGAGTGGAGCATGGGGAACCTCACAGCCCTCTCCCTCCGCTCCTCTCTGTCCCCCTGAAGAGGCTTGTTTCTGTCAACTTCCCCACATCCTTGCTGGTCTCCTCTTCACAGATGTCTGTGGCCAAGCTCCTAGGTGGCTGTGGCAATGCCAGTACCAGTGGAAATGTCACCTTCAGCCAGGAGCGGGCCCTGAGGGGGAAGAACCTGGCCACTGGAGCACTTTCTAAGGCAGTGGGAAACACCCTCCAGTCAGCCGCGGCCACCCAGCTTCCTAGAGCGTGTCCAGGTCCCCCGAGTCCCACAGACAGGCTCAGCCAACCTCAGTGTGTCTTGCACTCCCATGGCACAACTTGTCACCAACTAACACCCAAGGTCTGAACTGTTCAGGCTCGGTGCAGGTGCCAGGACCCCATGCTGTTCTCTCCAGGACTTGGCTGTTGGGGACATAAACAAGCGTGTGCCAAGTAAAGAACTGTCCAGACACCTAAGATAGTTACTATCCGGTAAGTGGAGTGGGGATGACTAGGTAGCCAAGGGCTCAGGGTGCAGGAGATTTGTTTTCCTACTTACCCCAAATAAATCCCAGATGGCTCACATATATCCAAATGTAAAAAAGAAAAGAAACCTCAAAGCTAGGAAAAAAGGGAGACATTTTTTCATAATCTTGGTATGAGAAAGTTCTTTTCAAACGTATTACAAAACTCTTGAATTCTTTTTTTAAAGACTAACATATTCAACTACATAAGACACAAACAGTCCTGCATAGCAAACTGCTCCATTAAGAAAAACAATAAAAATTAAAAAAAAAAAACAAAAACAATCAGGGCTGGGGCTGGGGCTCAGTGGCAGAGTGCTTGCCTCGCATGTGTGAGGCACTGCGTTTAACCCTTAGCACCACATAAAAATAAGTAGAATAAAATCATGCTGTCCATCTACAACTACAAGAAATAAAATTTAAAAAGAAAAGAAAATGAAACAATTAGCCAGGAGGCTGAAGCAGGAGGATCCTGAGTTCAAGGCCAAGCCTGGACAACTTAGTGAGACCCCCCGTTTCAAAAAAAATAAGAAGGGAGCTATCATGTATAACAAATTAGAATAAATAAATTTTAAAAAATAAGAAGGGCTGGGTGCAGCTCTGAGGTAGCGCATCCTTGGGTTCAACCCAGGAGCAAAACCAGACCAAACACCTGGGTCTCCTCGCAGGGGACACCAGCCGGCCAGGACCAGGAAAGGGCAGCCTCACAAGACAGGAGCTTAGCTAATGGTTGCTCTACCCCAGCCAAACATCAGAAGAGACACCGTGGCCCCACACCCACCTGTGCTGGCCAGGTGGGGAGCCTAGCTGCCACCTCCCCAGGTTGTCATGAGGTGGCCCAGTGCTCCCATGGGGCAGTGTCAGATCAGGGTAACAAGTGGTCACGGGCCACTCCCACCTGGAGTCAGAACTCCCACACACCCACACCCTAGTAGCAAGGAGCCTTCTACCTGTGGCGTTGCAGGCCAGGTGGGAACCTGACTTCCACCCTACCTAGCAGTAAGGAAGCCCTTCCCTTGCTAGTGTCAAACAAAGTCAGGTAAATCAGAGGCCTAAGATGGAAGGTCTCCAAGCAAAACATAAACATAAACATGCAAGTTCCAATAGAAAATCCCCCCAGAAAATGACATCCTTAGCTGTCAACCTAACATCACATATAGGACTTCATACAGAAAACTGAACAGTGCTGACGGGAGAGCTCAGCGAAGCCTGGGACACCTGGAGAGGTCCCGTGTTCACAAACTGCAGCGCTCCCCATGGTGAAGACGCTCCTTCTCCCTAAATTGATAGAAAAGTTTAACACAAATTCCCACCAGGTTTTTGTCGTCGTTATTTGAAGATTTAGACAGAATTGTTCTATGAAAAGACAAAGAACTAGAACAACTGAAACAATTTTTAAAAATAAAAAATGGGGGGCTGGGGTTGTGGCTCAGCGCTGGAGCGCTTGCCTAGCACGTGCGAGGCCCTGGGTTTGACCCTCACACCACATAAAAATAAATAAATAGAATAAAGATATTGTGTCCAACTACAACTAAAAAATAAATATAAAAAAATAAATTTAAAAAAAATTTAAAATGGGAAGAATGAGTTTGTCCTATTTCAGGACTTACTACACAGCTCCAAGTCAGTACTGTATGGTGCGGCAGTGACCGGCATGGATGGATGGAACAGAAACCAGGACTCAGAAAGACACTCACACAAGTACGTCTACCTCACTCAGGTGTAAGGCAGTCAATGGAGAAATGGGGCCGGAGCCAGTGGAAGTCCATAGGTAAAAAGCACACCCCGACCGGAGCCTCACACCTCACACAAAACTTAACTCAGAATGGATCACGGAGTTAAAGTAAGACATAAAAGTATAAAACTCTTAGCAAAACAAAGATCATCTTTGGGATCTAGGGCTAGGTAGAGAGTTTTTATAAACTAAACTCACAATATGTAAAAAGAAAAACCTGATAAATTGGACTTCAAAATTAAAAACCATTGCTCTATGAATGTTTCTGATTTTTTTCTTTTTATGACACTGGGGATTGAACCCAGAGTTACTTTACCCCTACCTCCCCAGTTATTTTTATTTTTTTTTTTTTATTTTGAAACAGAGTCAAAAAGCTGCTGACGGTCTAAGTTGCTCAGACTGGCCTCAAACTTGTGATCCTCCTGCCTCAGCCTCCCAAGTCATGGGATTATGGGCATTCCTCTTAAGAGGAAGAAAAGCTACAGACTGAAAAAACCATATTTTTCAGGACTGGGGTTGTGGCTCAAGTGGTAGAGTGCTCACCTAGCACGTGTGAGGCACTGGGTTCAATCCTCAGCATCATGTAAAAATCAAATAAAGACATTGTATCCACCTAAAACTAAAAAATAAATATTTTAAAAAAATTTTCAAAGCATATATTTAACAAAGGAGTAATATTAAGAATACACTCTCAAAACTCAACAGTAAAAGAATAAACAGTCCAATTAGAATGGGGACAAAAGAACATGAAAAGACATTTCACTAAATAAGATATACGGATGGCAAATAAGCACACAGAAGGATACTGAGCATCCTCCGTCATTAGGAAGTACCAACCAAAATTGCAATGGGACCCTGGAGCACGCCTGTCAGAACAGCTGAAATGAACGGTGACACCACCACATGCTGCTAAGGGCGCAGAGGCACTGGATCATCCGCACATTATTAGTGAAAGTATAAAATTTCACAATCTGGAAAATAGTTTAGTGGTTTCCTAAAAAAATTAAATACACAACTACTGTACGTCCTAGGAGTTACATCCCTGGAAATGTATCCCAAAGAAATGAAGACAGTGCTCACACAAAACCCGTCAATAATGCCCGTGTCATAGCAGCACGATTCACAATAACCAA